CACAACTTCACTCACTTCACTACCACGCTTAACTCAATTGTCTGTCTCTATCGCCGCCTGTCAGCAACTTATAGTTTCGATCTCTGTATCTGCTATCCTTGGTTCCCACTGACTGTAACTGCTGTCCTTGGTTCCCCACTCTCTCTTTGTTTAGCGCACTTATATACGATAATACCGCCCACGTAGCCTCTTCGAGAATCTTCTAGACACTCACCACCTGGCCATGCCGGGCAAACTTCATTGTATACATAGAATGTAGATTTCACCAATTTCCAACCTAAATGTTTCACACATTACAAATAAGCTTAAGCAGTAAATAATAGTCAGATTGGTCACTTTTGCTCAAACAAGTGACTAGTTAAGCCTTTTTAACTTTGTGCTTGCAAAACAATTTAAATTTCAACTTCACTATGATGGAATACATCCTAGATCTTTACATTAACCAGACTGTGGAACTGAAAAGGATAGTTAAAACCCCACTACCCATCAAGTTCATTGATGTAGATGTGTTTCTGGCTTGCTCATCACATGTATACTAACTTTTTTTTTATCTCCCTACAGTTTATTATCAAGTTATTTATATTTTATTTAAATACAGTTTTCATTCATTAAACATTTGTTTTTTATTTCAGTCTTTATTTTCCAACTTTAATTTTAACATAATAAACTTGTTCACTAGTACAATCTGCCAATGTTTATTTTATTCTTCTTTCCATCTACAACAAATCCCTACACCTGTCTTCAACATACTAGGTCCAGGATTCTCCAGATATTGTGAAGATCAGCTAATTAGGTGTTTGGTTATCCCTCGATTACCACATATTTTAGAACCACTAATAAAAGTAAAATCTACATTTTCAAGTGGCCCGGCATGGCCAAGTGGTTAGGGCGCTCGACTCACAATCTAAGGGTTGCGGGTTCAAATCCCCGTCCCACCAAACATGCTCACCCTTTCAGCCGTGGGGGCGTTATAATGTGATGGTCAATCCCACTATTCGTTGGTAAAAGAATAGCCCAAGAGTTGGCGGTGGGTGATGATGACTAGCTGCCTTCCCTCTAGTCTTACACTGCTAAATTAGGGATGGCTAGCACAGATAGCCCTCGTGTAGCTTTGCGCGAAATTCAAAACAAAACAAACAAACATTTTCAAGTAGTTTGTTGGTAGTTTAAAGGCTTTCTTCCAGTAACAGATCAAGTTGCTGTGGTTACATAAAAAGTTCATGGTATTTCACTGGTGACGATCATGATAAGTCTCTAGAAAACAATTATATTGGTTTTTACACAAAATTCATAAAAACTAAAACCAATACAACTGTAAAAACGTTATTTATTTCAGATAATGTTTAGTTACTTTCAGATGACTGCTCTTGGTGTAACTACAATGTTAAGTTCCAAACTGTAAATTACACTAATACATTTGAGGTTTATATATATGAACTGAAAAATGGCTTAATGAAATTTTAGAATCCAAGAGACAGATTCTGTCATAATTGGAATCTGACTGGTAGAATAAATGTGTAACTAAATATCAATTACAGATAATGATCTTACAATCTTAGCAATGGACTTACATTTGACTTAAAAAAATAGTTTAATGTTGTAGATGATAAATTTGGACTATAAATGGCTATTTTTTCATGAACAACTTTATTTCTCCAAATGTTAAATATCTCTTTGTCAAGAGTTTTGTAAACATGCAGACTAGAT